ATAGGGCTAATAAAGAAACATTATTATTATTTCTGTTTGGTGCTGTAAGGCCCGATTCTGTCCCGGGTAGGCATTCTCTATCCAGGTGCTGTAAGGCCCAATTCTGTCCCGGGCAGGCATTTTCTGTTTTGTTTACCCAAATGGTAAATGTTTACACTAAACTCCTGATGATAAAGAAGGGTTTCTATTTCCTTCGGTTACATCAAAGACAGGAGTGGGGGGGAAACTTGTGTGTATATATATAAGTTCTGTAGGACCATATCCACTTTGAGCTATGATAGGTACTATAACCGTTATGTGCTTATTGTGGTTCCTTCTATGCATACAATAAAGCTTGGCTGGACAAAAACACTTCAGGCTCGAATTTCTTGGTTTCTACAGTAAGTATTTGGACAGTGACAATTTTTGTTGTTTTGGCTCCATACTCTAGCACAGTGGTTCTCAAACTGTGGTACGCGTACCTGTAGTGGTACGTGGCGTGCCGCCAGGTGGTACGCAAAATGACCCTGGAACTGTGTTGTGTGCGCTTAAAAAATCAGGACGGGTTTTCATATTTTGTATTTTTATACGTGTCGAATACGCAGCCTACGCACTACGCACTACGATACAGTGCACGCTAATACTTCAGTGGACACAAGAGATACTCTGTAATTCTATACCACTCTCTAGGAATGTGTGCTACGGCCACAAGTGACCAACTGTATTTTAAAAAATCTACTGTATCTCCAGCAAATAGGGAGAAAGGAGAATGTGCGTGATTTTGGAACAATGCCAAGGTTGTAAACACAGGAATGCATAGAAATGCGTGCTACGACCGCTGGTAATCTTGTGAGCACAGGAAAGCGTGAAAAATATTTAAGAATTAAGTTAATTTGCGCATGAAATAAATACTTAAAATAAACACTGAAATAAAAATGGAAACGTGAAAAAATGCAAGCTTGTGGATTGCTAAAGCAGGTAAGCCCCACAATATTATGCGTGGAGAAAAAGATGCTAAACAGCTCGACCTGCTGCTCCCCCCGCCAGAAAGACACAGTCATTCATAGAATTATTGAAATGAAGGATTATATCAAAAGTACGCTGACAGAGCGCGTTAAGATGAACAGATGTTTTTCCACTGTAATTAGATGAGTCTGTAGTCAATTTGGCCAAATTGCTCGTTTACGTTAGATACGAGTTTGAGGGTACGTCCCATGTGGACTTTCTGTTCTGTAAGCCGCTACCAACAGGAACTACAGGAGAGCACGTATTTCAGCGAATGAATTTATCGAAGAGAATGGCATCGACTGGATAAAATGTGTCGGAGTTTGTACAGA